AATAAATAAATAAATAAATAAAGTTGGTGTCAACTTACAGAGGCTCTATGAATTAGCAACTTCCAGACGTCCAGCCCTGCCCTGTTCTTGCATACGTAAAGCTGTGGTTTCCTTTGTTGAGTCAATCCATCACATATTTAGTCTTCCTCTTGTCCTAGCATTATTGTCTTCTACTGCTGTACACAATTAAAAGGACCTGTGGCTCAAGTTATTTGAGATGTGGTTTGATGACTTTTGAGATTAATAAACTTGCCAACATAGAGAAATAGCTCTCACATGCAATACAGTGTTACCTAGGAGAAGCCATATTCGTTCCTCACAAAACAGTAACCATGAATGATGGCTTAAGTGAGATCTTTCACACTAAAGTTGAGTAATTACTTCACTAACTGCTTTGCTAAAGCTACTATAGAATAGGGCCATAGTTGCTGCAGTTCTAGCACTTGTTTGATTTAATTTTAAGACGTGTGAGGGTTTTGGACATTTAGAAACCTTTTAAAAAAGATATAGTGGGTATTTTGGGGGGGAGTGTACCATCAGCGGAGTACAGTACCTTGCTGCAATGCAGTTACTTGGGAGCAGTTTTGTGAGGAAAAGCTTGACCCCCCCCCCTCCTAGTGCTAGCAGTTGCTTTCTGTTTTTGCTGTGGTGAACGTTTTGGCAATCTCCCTATCAAGACAAGGTCAAGTTTACTATTTTCCTTGGCAAATTGCATATGTAGGGTTAGCAAGACCACTCACGTTTGTGAGCCAAACTTCATGTGACATTAAATGCCTCCTTGCTTATTAATGTATGTGTGTGTGGGGGGGGGGAATCGAACAGTCTCTGCAGTGGAGGTGTGGCAGTTACTAGAGTCACAGCACCCATAGAGAGAATTTAAGCATTTCCTTTTGCTCTAAACTTCGTATTTGCATTGGGAGGAAATCTCCTGTTTACACCAATAAAGAATTTCTTCACAAAGCAAATAACATCTCAGTCCTGATTTTTGGTTAAAAAAAACTCCTGGGGACTACTACCATTGCATTTACTCACAATGCCCCTGGATTTTACATTCTTTACATTGTTCTGAGGTGCTGTGTGTTTTGGGGGAGGGATGGCAGGTCTTGCTGCTCTCCATTTTTATTTTATTTTATTTGTGGAAACTATCATTTTGTGGACCCATAACGCTCCATGGTGCTGAAAGTAATAAAAGTGGAAGCTGCTATGAAGACTGCTTCTGAGGCAGCAAAGAATCTTCTCCCCATTCATGCTGCCCCACAGCATGAAGAGGCATGCTGAAAAATGTACTTATTCCTAGTCATTTACTTCTCAAGGAATATTTGCCAAATCAGCCAAATGTTCTCCATTCATTTCATTTTTTATTAATTCTCATACAAATACATATCCCTGTTCAAGATTGGAGCAAAACTCCATTATTAGACTGTTTGATCCCATTTCTGTCCTATGTATTCTGACAACAATCAGTTAGTTTTTGTCAAGTAAACTGAATAAGGAGGGATTGTTCCTATATAAAGCAGATTAAAACTATAAATATCTATTTTTTTTTCAAAATACCTAAAGACTACTTGGTTTAGAAATTTTAGAGCCATGGAGAAAAGACAAGGAGGATGAGCTGTGTCAGAAGTTCACTTGGGAATGTGGTTTGTGCTGGTGATCCTTTGCTGTTGTTGCAGTTTGGCTGTAATAGTAACAGTTTGGGTCTAGGACCTGCAATCTGAATGGAAAATTTCTGTTCCTTGTAGGTGTCTCTGCCTAATCCTTAGGGATCCCCTTTCCATGGACTACATTTCTCCATTCGGATAGTGTATCCACAACTTTCTGTATAGCCTGTTATGGGCCAGTCCAATTGTACGTGCTATACAGTACAACAATTTCCAACTCAAATACTTACTTGGTGGAGCCAGCTGAATGGCTGGAGTCCTTGGTCCAAAAAAAACCAAAAACAAAATCTTTCATCTGCAATTTTAATTTTGCTTTGCAGTTAAACAAGCTGCAATCTTCGGACTCCAAAAAGGTCACCTTCGGGCTGAGTAAGAACATGACCGCTGGTAAGTTCAAAGAGACCATAGCTGGAGTCCTTGGTCCGAAAAAAAAAAAAAAACTTTCATCTGCAATTTTAATTTTGCTTTGCAGTTAAACAAGCTGCAATCTTCGGACTCCAAAAAGGTCACCTTCGGGCTGAGTAAGAACATGACTGCTGGTGAGTTCAAAGAGACCATATGCTTTTGTGACTGCATGAAAAATGGGCAAGTTTAGCAGAAGAGGATGGGATGCTGCTTGAAACAGCCATAGCTAAATTTTAAAACAGGTTTTGCATTCTCATATGGGAGGAAGTAAAGCATGCCATGGCACCACTCACATGAGAGCCCGGGTGCAATATGAGAATGAGGGTCTAGAATATCTGGGTTCGAATCATCTCCACAAAGTGCAATGGGTCTAGGGAAGGTGAACGGTTGGACACCCCTGGTCTAGAACATCTAGGTTCGAATCATCTCCACGAAGTGCAATGGGTCACCTTGGGCCAACTATCACCTCTGGGCCCATTCCTACCTCTCAGGATTGTTGGGAGGATAAAGTTGGGAGAAGAAAAGCCTTGTATGCCAACTTGACCTCACTGGAAGAAAAAAAAAAGAATATAAATTTAACAAATATTTTTTTCTCCTTACCGTCTTCTGAGTTGAGGAACAGGATTCCATTATGAATCTTGTCCTCAAACAATGGACTCAGTCACATGTGCCAAAGGAATCCCAGTTATAGCGATTCTGCTGTTTTTAAAATCGTTTTATAAATTTCCGTTCATGTGGTGCAGAAGTAAGATCAGTTCAGTTCATTTGGCCAGCTAATCGGGTCCCCCCCCCATACTGGGAGGGTTCTTTTCAAATGTACCAATCATGTATCACTTCATTTTTTATTGTTATAGCACATGTGAATTTTGCTGTTGATTTATTTACTTTGTGAACAGGTCGGGGTTTGTTTGTTTTTGTTTTTTGGCACTGTGGCCACTTCATAGCCACTGTGCTTGTACCCTTTAAAAAAAACTAAAGGGATATGAATAAATTGCTAGTAGCAGCCACCACTGCAACATGAATATATTGCTTAGAAGAAGACAGCCTCCCCTGCCTTGGGAGTGTAAGGAATTTAAGGGGAAAGAGGGGCTTGAGCAGAGAAAGAGACATTTCCTGCTTTGATTTATAAAGAAAGAGGCATTGCTTTAACATCTCCTCTCTCTTTTTAAACGTTGGTGTTCACAGTACTTTGCAAGTTTTTTTAAACCGCTTTCTCCTCCCAACGCAGTTCAAAAGTGAAAAGAAAAAATGAAAGCCAAGAACTCAGAGGGAGAGATATGCAGGGAAATAAGGAAAGGGGGATGAGTGAGTAAAGGAAGGGAGGGAAAGGGGGAGTAGGAGAGAAGGGAAAGTGGGGGAAGAAAAAGGAAAAGTGGAGAAAGGGATTGTGAAGTGAAAATTAAAAAGGGAAGGAAGGGGTGAAGGTGACATAAACCACCAGGTTGCACGTCGATGAACAGTTGGAAGTGACGGGGAAATAGTGACATAACACTTACATTTTTTTTTAATAGACTCCTGACAATTTGAGAATTCCACATCAAAAATGCATAGAACCCGTTGGATTGACAGGCTTTGCCAGTATATCTCCAGCACCCATTAACAGGGCCCCAGCATTCAGTTTTGTTTCTGCTTTTCTTTAGAATTAGAATCTTGATGGTTGCCAATTGGTCTGGATCCCTTTCCTGCATTAACTGCCTTAGCAACCACAGAAAACAGTTTTGTGTGCCTGGCAAAAGGAGGATACAAGACTTATGCTCTTGCTTTCCAATCTTTTTCTGACAGAGTTTAAGAAGACAGACAAAAGTATCCTGGTCAGCCCAGAAGGACCCTCCCGGGTGGCTTTCAATCCGAAACAAAAACCATTGCATGGAGTACTGAAGTCCTCTTCTACAGACGCACCTCAAATGAAGAAGCCTCTTTTAGTGCCAGTTAAGAAAAGACCAACTGCTGTGGACTTCTTCTGAGGAAAAAAGTTGGGAGTTTTGTACAGAAAATGTCACTAATCTGTTACTTCCAGAGCTGTTTTTGGAATCTTATTTTCACGGTTAAGGTGATAATATATTCAAGGCTCTGACTGTCTGACCTATTTGACGTTGCTTTAGTAAATGCCTCTTCAGCAGTGCATTGAAACAGTTTTGTGTACATTGTCAGCAAAGGAAAAAGTAATATAAATATGTTTGTTCGTGGCTTTCAGCCTCCATTGACGGAGGCCTAACTTTTTTTGTTGATTAAATAACCATATAGTCATATGGTGTATGAATGTGTACTGTTTTATTCTACAGCTGATTGTGCTCTTTTAATGACTTCCTTGTTGCTTTTCTTGGTGCCAGAGAGGTGGAGAGATTCCAACTTTAAGATAAAAAGCACACAGCTCCTTTCACCTCACTCCTTCACTGTGTTAATTCTTTTCTCTACAAGCTCTTTTCATCACTGTGTACCAAAGTGTCTGATTTAGAAACAGAATATCTGCTTAGGTGAACTAATGCTGTTGGAGAAATAACACCTGCCCCTCCGAGTGAGTTGTTGGTTGCCAATACATATCTCATCATGGACGGTAACAAAGTGCTTCAGTTACCACAAATTTCCTAAGCATTTGTAGTATTGTTGGCGCCTTCAGATTTGCCCTTCTGTTCTTGTAATGTGCACATGTTCTCCTTAACCAATAATTGTATAATGCTGTTCCTATCCAAAAATATACAGATCAAGGCTAGGTGATAGGAATTAGGAATTACTCTTCTTCCATTTAAAGGAATGAGATGAGAATAGTAATTTTTATCTCTTATCAAAGCCTTAATACCTTTTGACACAGGGTAAAGTTGCTTTTGAAAATGAGGCTGTGACTTTAATCTGCAGTATAAGATTTAGTTATATTCAGCATAGAATATGCTGATGGGACTATGCCTGTGTTCATTTTCCTTTTAATTTTACAACAGAATTATTTTTTTTCTACCCTACCATAAATTTACTCTCTTAAAATCCCCAGTCCCTCATTTTGGAAATGTAACAGAGCATGGAGACACAGCTAAGGAAGCTTTACAAACCCAGGAAGTATGATGATATGGCCATATAGCAATTTCCTTATTTTTTAATCCTATCAATGGATCTTGGTACAGTATTTTATTTCTCTGCATGTGTACTTTCAAGGATAAATGGTTCCTCAGTTCATTTAATACATCTGTCAGCAGTATGTACTGGGAATGCTTACTTTCGTTGTCCCATTTCAGTTTTAAATAATGTGAAACAGTTTAAGAGTGGAATATTTGTTTTCCGTGAACCTATAAGGTTGTTGTTTTGTTAATGGCATAACATTTATTTGCTATCAGCTCACAATTAATGAGTCTCTGCTGCAGTTCTTTGGAGTCCGTGCACCTGTTGGCTTGACTTGTATATCCTCAAGAATTGCAGAAGGGACTCTTAATTGCTGGCTAGAAGGAAGTGAATGTTACATTGCTTGCCTTTCACCTGCATAACAAAAGAATTTCAGCAACTGTGTCAAATGTTACATTATTTTGTTAATTCTTTATATTAGCATATGATAAAGAAAAGAAGACATCTTAATAGGAATGTTCATAATGGTTCATTTCATCTGATTTTAATAAACATAAGAAATCCAAGATGCTGTTTTGAAATACAGTACTGCTTGTGCGAAAATAATGGGGAACCAGAAACAACATGAGTCACTAATCTGTTTTTGGTCAAAAATATTCATAGCGGCAATTGTATGCACACCATGGTTTGGATGTTGTAATATTCTGTAGCTAGAACAACAGTGGAGAACACATTCCAAATGTTGTTAAATCAGAATTCTTGTTATCTGTGCCGGCTAGGACTCATCGGAAAGTTGGAGTCTTAACAACATCTGGTGGGTTACATGTTCCCACTCCTAACTATATGGCATGTAGAAACCAGCTGTTCAGGCCTGGCCACAAACCACTGTTGGAGAAAGGATTCCACTAGAGGGCAGTAACAAAACTGTAATCAATTTAAGTCTACTCATCAGGACAATATGACAATATAGAAAGCAGGAATCTCAACTTTCAAGCCAGTTTATCAGTTCATAGATGTCTTCTAAAAATGTCTAGAATTGAAAAGGGTTTATATTTTTTGAAATGACCTCTTTAAAAAACTTTATTTTTAAAAAAGAAATTCTACAGTTTTATAATAATTCAGTTGAATATTTAGTGAAATAGAACACCTGTTTGAAATATTTAAAGCCCTGTATTTAAATAGTTGGGTTTTTTTAAAGCCCTTTATATTCAGCTTCTGTGAATGGAAAAGTACTTTATCTCTTGCTTATTCTGGTACCTTTTTATTATAGGGGCAATATTTTCTCCTAATTGTACAGCATTCCTCTTATTCCTATTTTCATTGATCAAAAGTTGAAATAACATTGGGTAATAAAGCATTCTTTTGCGAGGGATGTTGTATTTTCTTTATTTTGGATTTTAACCTTGCCATTCATAAGGTTTGCGGATAGGTAAAAAAATTGTTAAAACACAAGTATGTAATTTTCAGTAAAATTATATTTAAAAAAGCAAAACAGGACTTCATAAATGTTTACATGAATGTAACCAAAGTAAGGAAGTGAATCTTGTGAGATAAAGAAACAGCAAATACCAACAATGCTTCACTGGATGCAGTTGCATTAAAAAGCAGCTGGAGAAATGATGAACAGAGGCCATTTCTTCAGTAACCAATCTATATGGATATATCTCACATTTTTCTGACAAGTATAAATACACAATTTGTAAAAAATTCTTTCTCTTGTGTGAATATTTGAAAGAAGTGGAGTTACAACACTAGTTCTACTTAAATATCGCTTTTCCTCTGTTAAACCTTTTGACTCGAAGAATTTCTGGTGTTCCTGCTTTTGAAGGATTGTAAAGCCAATCAGCCCTAGACAAGATAGCCAGTGGTGAGAGATGATGGGCACAATAATCCTAAAATATGTTCTATATCCCCTCTGTAAAAGAAAACAACTATTCTGAAAGAGACATACCCCAAGAAGCTAGCCAGTTTATAGCTTGGAAATGCTTTCCTTGCCCAGTGAAAATGAATGGGAATCACTGATATACCGTAACTATTCAATCAAATAGAAAATCCTTGATTTTTTAACTGTGATTTACTTATTTATTTATTTAACTTACAGTGGAGTCTCTACTTAAGAACTTAATCCGTATTGGAAGGTGGTTCTCAAGTTGAAAAGTTCTTATGTTGAATCTGCATTTCCCGTAGGAATGCATTGAAAACCATTTAATCCGTATCTGCTCTTTTCCGTCCATAGAAACTACAGTGGAACCTCTACTTAAGAACTTAATCCGTTTTGGAATGGTGTTCTTAAGTTGAAACGTTCTTAAATTGAAGCAAAATTTCCCATAGGAATGGAGTGAAAACCAATTAATCCGTTCTGGCTGTTTTTTTTTGTTATGTAGAGGTGCGTTCGTACATTGAAGCATTAGTTCCCATAGGAACTAATGCAAAGCTAGTTAATATGTACTCTACCACTAGGGGGAGAATTTTTTTTAACCTAAGATGACCTAAGGTTAAAAAAAGAGCAGGAAAGGTTTTTTTTTCCTGTTCTTATCTTGGATTTCTGTTCTCAAGTAGAAGCAAAATTTAGCAAATGGAGCTGTTCTTAAGTTGGATTGTTCTTAAGTAGGGACGTTCTTAAGTAGAGACCCCACTGTAAAATAGATAGCAAATAAATGGCAGAAAAAGATCACACAGACTTTGTTGCATCAGTATGTATGTATACCCCGTAAGCCTTCTGGTAGAAAAACTGTTCATCTGCTCAACAAATAATTTAAGCAAATGTTTTAGGATTCTGACATTTTATGGTCAACTATTGCAGAAAATTGGATGGGCATAAAAATGCAATGTTACCTGCAAATTAAAGACTCCTATCTTAGTAGACATGCTTTGGGATGGGCATGCCTAAAACTGCAAGGAACATATTTTCATTTCTTGTCTCATAATAAGTATGTTGTAATCCTTCAACTGTTGTCTATGTAATCTGAAATTCCAAAGTGGTGTTTGTGCATATACTTTCATTACTTCCAAACAAAAGGCTCCAAAAGATTGCACATGGCTTCAGGTTCTCCGGAAATTGTCATCACATTGGATGGTACAAAAAAAGCAGGGGACGGAAAAGAAATTAGGGGAAAAAACATATACTGTATGTATATATTCCTGGGTAAGCAGAGAGTTATTTGGTAAAATTCTCAACACATTCTTTTCCAGCCTTTTTAAAAAATCCTCATTCCAAACTAGAAGTTTTTTTCAATTTTCTTCCATTTTGTATGATCATGCATTCTGGGTCTTAAAAACAGCACAGAAAAATAATATTAAGAGCACTTTCTTAAAAATAAAAGCTGAGCATCAGTGCAGGATATACTGCTGAGTTTTGGCCTGATGAAATTCGAAGTGAATATGTTTCAGTGTGTTGAACTTTTTTATTGTAAAGAAATAAGACGTCAATACAAACTGCATACCACAAACAGTAGAAAATTAGAATGGAAAGGCAAGGTAGAGCTTTGGAATGGCCAGCCTATGTTTGCTTAAATTAAAGTTCTTGCTGCTCCCAACAAGAATGGTTTAAGTGGTCATGCAGTTTGAAAATGTCCATTGCCATTCATAACTTGGTTCAGCTATGCCATGCATGTATTGAATGGGTAATTTCTTTAACAGGTCACCACCTCCTACCCAAAGCTCTGCCGCATATTTGATTGATACAGGTGATCTTTGCCTGCAAATAGATTTTATAATTGTGAACATGTAGAACCATTCCAGTCTTGATCTCTTTAGTGAGTTGCTTCTCTTAAGGTCTGGTTCTTTATACAGACAGTACAGCCACTGATCTTGTATAGATCCTTTTTTTTCCTGCAATAAATTAAAAAAATCAGGGACAGTCTGGATATCTGCTTCCTAAAATATGTATTCTCCATTATATTCTGTGAAGTAAATGAATATATGGCAGTCCTTTAAAAGAAAATGATCTGCTTAACTATATGGTAATGAGTAATAGTGTTTATGAAAAAAGAAAACAGATTACCATATTTTTCCGTTTATAAGACGCTCCAATTTATAAAACGACCCCCACTTTTCTAATCCTAAATTAGAAATTTTGATCGCTGCTTTCCCCACCACTTCTTAAGCCACACGGGGCTTAGCAGAAGGAAGGGGAAAGCAGGGATCAAAGTGTGGCAGGATCACTTTGATCCCTTCCCCCCTCCACTTGTTTTTGTTCTCTCCTCAGTTTAGTCAGTATATAAGACGACCCTCAATTTTTAGTATAAAGACTTTAGACAAAAGTATCAACTTATACACTGAAAAATATGGCAAATAAGAACTTCATGCACAGCCTTGAAGAAGATGATTTATTGAAAACTTGTTTGTTTTGGGGAGGCGTTTTTGTTTGTTTTGTTTTATATTCTTAATGGCCCATTAAAGGTATCACTTGTTTCTGCATTTGTATCCATTTCCACAACCATGCAGCCTTTCCCTGATTTTTCCTGAATTGTAAAATACCAAAGAATGGCAATCAGGGCATCAACTGAAAATCAACATGAGTTCTCAAACATCATGGACTCGATATCAATCAGGGCATCAACTGAAAATCAACATGGGTTCTCAAACATCATGGACTCTTGATATCAAACAAGCAGTACTCCACGCTAAAGAAAGCATCCACAAGGTAAAACTATATATTTGGCTTTAATTGGCCTTAAATTAACTGCTACTGGTGGTTTAACTAAACTCCTAATCCCAGCTCTGTTAGAGGCAGGCCATGCTCCTGGGAATTCTTTCCTCCCCTAGCCCAAAATAGATTTTTAAAAAGGTAAGGGGAAAGAGGGTGTGTGTGTGTGTGTGTGGGAGGGAGGGTTCCAGATCACCTGACTGTCCTGTTTTAAGAGATGGACCATCAATTCCAAAATGCTGAGAGGGTGCTTGAAACCAAATTGCTTACTGCTCTATCTCCACCTAAGATGCAGACCTGGCCTCAACATCATCAGCCATATGAATCTGGGACATTAATAACATCATGTAAGTTTGGAGCTACCCACAATAACTTGATGCACAGCCTTCAAGAAGATAATTTATCATCGAAAGCTTGCTGTGTGTTTTTTTTTTGTTTTTGATTTATATTCATGATGCTCAATTAAAGGTACCCCCTGTTCCTGCATCAGATTAAATTTCTATCTATTGGGAAGATAGGGTTACTCAAATTACACCCATATAAGAGCTCTGTAATCTTTAGAACAGCTTCTTGCAGCCCTTGCTGTCACAAATCTGTCAAATGGTATTGCCCATCCCTCGACAGTGATTCCCACTCTAGAGTCAGCAAGCCAAAGACAATTGAGGCACATGACAAACCATCCCATAAACCACAGAATGCTGAACATATTTCCTAATTGAGAAAGAACCGTAAGACCAAAGCAAGGCACATTTTAGGAGATTAAAAATTTGAAATGTTTAGTCATTGATCTTTACAGTAAATGTATCTCTATAAAAAGTGGACTCATCAGAAGTTTTAAAACTGTGGGTCTACCCAAACGAAAACCCTACTACCTCACCTGCTGCATTCTTCTGTACAGTATTTCAGATTAGCCCCAAGCCACATGCAGACCATGATAAATTTCTAAAATGCTACAGTACTCTTTTTTTTAGAACAAAGAGGAAATGTGATACTTCTAGCTAGTTCAAAGACAATGAAAACACGCTAGAAAATGCTATTTTTTAAAATTTAACTATAATTAAACTTCTGATTCTATTTTCCAAAATTTTGTAGTTTGAAGATTTTTTTTTTTTTACTTTGGGAGCATACATTCCAAAAACCCATATTGATTGCAACATACTTTGTGGTTGCCATGAGGGAACAGGCCGGATAAGTGGGACTCGTCAGCCCCGGAAGGCAGCCCATCTAAGAGAAGGAAAACTCTGATTTCAAACTCCCACTGAGGCGCCGCCATCGTCCTCCATGCTGTGAGGGAACAGGCCAGGTAGGTGGGACTCGTTCAGCCCTGGAGGGCAGCCCATCTAAGAGAAGGAAAACTCTGATTTCAAACCTCCACTGCCTTGTGGCTATATCCACTGATGGAAAAGGCTTCAGGAATTAACCTCGAGGCAAAATCCGGAGCCGGAGTCCCGGAGGCAGTCATTCTCTCAACTCCTGTGACGTTGCTGAAACCAGTTGTATTGGCTCTTGCCTTTCCACTGGACTATTTCAGTGACGTGGAGAGGGAGGATTTGCTTGTTGGGTAACAGCCTATCCTCCATATTATTTTACCCAGGCTTCGTGCTCTGGAGAGGACACACCAGCTTTGCATACAGCATCAAAACACTAGACACTGTTCCAAGTCCTCCATACAGAGCACGCTACCATAGTCCCTTGAGACTGAAGGATGCCTATGATC